CTCGCCAGCTTTTCCGGCCCCCCTCCCCCCGCCACGGGCCAGACAAGACCTTCCTCCCCTGTCGGGTGCTCCAGGTTAGCCCAAACCAGAGGAGGCTTTTATTGGGGTGAGGGTTGGAGAGGACGTGAAAGTGGACTCAGAATTTCTCCACTCGGGAAGAAGTGCTGCTCCTAGGTTTCACAGGGAGTAAAGGGGGAGCAGCGAGGTCCTGAGTTTGGAGTGATGGTAATAATTAACATTTTTCTAAGCCCTCGCTGTGTGCCAGGCACTGTGCTGAGCGACTTGAGTGCCTCTCCTTGCCTCCTCCAACGCCCCGGTAAGGTAGGTACGGTTATTCCCTCTGCTTACAGCGGACTCGAAGGCCCAGAGGTGGAGTGACATGGTCAAAGGCACACACATCTTAAGGGCAGGTATTTGTTTGAACCCAGGTCACTTGACTCCTAGTCCCTGAGCCTGTTTTATTTTTTGTTCCAGCGCCCTGTGCGGCTCTAGGGCACCTTCGCCCCCCAAGAGCACTAGTCTCGGGGACAGTATTAACCTTGGAAGACTGACTGCGCGGCCTTCGTACTTGGACTAGTTGTGGGCTTCCAGGGAGACGAGAGCTGGTCGTGGGATTATAACAAAGGCAAAGAAAGCGTTAGGGCTTCCTTTCTACAGATATTCCTACAGAGAGCTGATGGATGGGCTCTCCTGAAACCTTCTGGGAAAAGTATAGAGTAAAATGAGTAAGCGTAAGTGAACCTGCACAGTGTTCCTCGTCAAATTGGAAACTTAGAGCCTGATGATGGGAAATTCCCGCCAGCAGGAAGTCAGGCTCTGATACTGGATCTTGAATCTTTTTTTTCTTTTTGATTAGAGTAGACTTTTGAGAAAGACCTTCAAGAAAATAGTTCAACTTCCTCGTTTTACAGTTGAAGAAAATGAGGTTGCATAGCGATGGTTTCGTATCTGGCAACATGTATAAGTTAAAATTTGAAATTGGAGTAGAAAGCATGGTGCCCAGTTATAGTATAAATTTGACCTCCCTGGAGCCTAAGCTAGGTGAATTACGGGTGCTTGAGATGGGCTGGGAAGTCTTAACCCTTGTAGAGATGGGATCTTCTCTGGATGAGAGCCTGTCTACATAGATACATTTAGCATTTGTATATGCTCTTGTTACATGCAAACGTGGAATACACCTTCCAAGACTTGAGTTTTAAGTATTTCTAGTTAGTTATACTTGAGATTTTTAAAGGTTTAATGAAATAATAAATGTTCCTGTGTTGCAGAGCTGAATCATTACTTTGCATCACAAGTGTCTCTACTTGAGCTCAGACGGCAGTGAAAGTTTTGGGGCTAGCTCTCTGAATTAACTTTGATTGGAATGGCTTTCAGCCTTTTTTCTTTCTTTTTTTTAAAGAAATTTATTTTATGTATGCAGATACTTTTTAGGTTTGGTCTTTAAGAATTTTTTTGCAGCCAGAGGGAACACATAATTTACATCCTTGTAAGTAAATTAAAAAGGTATGAGGAAGCTTAATACTTGCGTTTCCATTTACCCAGTGATTTCCATATTTCTTAACAGAAAGTAGCTGCAGATAAAAGATAAAAATATTTTATGGAAAAATTCTTTGTTGGTGTTACCATGAATAACAAATTACTTTAGAATATAACATTGTTTTCTTTGGAACTTGCCTTCCTGTGGCAATTCCAGTTACCTGTGTTTAGATACCAGTTAAGTATTGAATTAGCATTTTAAGTTAAATGTTAAAATGCTAATTTTATGACCTACATTTAAACTGTTAAGTTTGAGTCCAACTAATTATTCCTTGAGGTAAAATATATCAGAATGAAAGTTCCTTATGCATTGAGGGAAGTTTAGTTTTCCCTTAAGATATTTTAAAAACTACTGTTCTTGGCTTCAAGCTAGTGATTATCAGTTGGATAGGAATGTGAAAACTGGTTTTTCACAGATTGTTAGCCCAATTGATCTCTTATGCATTCATTTATCAAGAACAAATGAAATGAAGCAAATAGTGATAATATAAGGTTTGTCTACCACCCACCCAAGCTAGGAATTACTTTTGTTGTTAAGTCCTTTCAGTCTCAGCTTTTGTATCTTCTAACTGGTAGAAAAGTATGCAGTTCTTTGTTCTTTATTTAACTCACTTTGGTTGGCTGTTCTCAGCTGACAGTCTGTTAAAGGAACATCAGGAGATTTGGTAATGTTTGTTGGTGACCTACTTTGCAGCAGTTTTTTGTAATTTACATTATTTTTCATTTTTACTTTAACTTGTTTTAGTATTTCACCTGGAAAGTAGAGAGCAGAGATTAGTTTCAAATTTTTATAGGTTTGTGAATTGTGTGTGGTTCTTAGGATGGATGAGACAATTTTAAAAGATTTAGTATGAAGCCTGAATGTGTGTCCTAAACCAATGTTTCTTTTTCTTTTTGCCAGTTTAATAAAATTACCTTCTTGATCTTTAAACATTTTGTCATTAGATTTTTTTTTTAATATTTTAGAATTCAAATGTGCATTGCATATTCATTTAATTGTGCTTTAAGACTGCCCTGGAATCAATATTGTTAAAATGGTCACTCTGCCCAAGGCAATCTACAGATTTAATACAATCCCTATCAAATTACCCAGGACATATTTCACAGAACTAGAACAAATCATAATAAAATTTATATGAAACCATCAAAGACCTAGAATTGCCAAAGCATTACTGAAGAGGAAGAAAGAGGCTGGAGGAAGACTGCCCTGGACAAAACTTACTGACTTTACAAAGGGAGATAATAGTTAAAATAGATAAGTGAGGGGAAAAAAAGCGTTTTTTTTCCTCTCCTGGCTAGTCGGTTTTAACAGCTAGTGGGAAAAACCTTTAGTACAATACTATCTTTCCAGCCATGGAGTCAAATTTAGATTCGGCAACTGTAATCTCACTTATAGTAGGTGATGACACTGTGGTGGTTAACTAGGTTATGTTTTTAAATCTCAGAAATCAGCTTTCTGTTTTTTTTTTTAATACTGGACACCCTGGCCTTGGTTGGAGAGATGAACTGCAAGCCAGATGATAAGTGAAGAGTTAGGAATAATCTGCATATGAAGAATGGGAAGGAGGAGCGTTATAAAAGCAGAGTGTAGTTTAAAAGTTTTCTTCTAGGGTGTGGCCTTTGTAAATAAAATCAGATTTTCAGATGACTTTAAGTGATAGATTTCCAGTTCTGCCATCTGGCCTATTTGTCATGTCGTGTTGCTTAGCTATTTAGCCTGTATGCTGTATTGCAGGTATTTGATAAAAAATAAATTATTAGAGAGGGTTCAGAGAAGAAAGCTGACATCTTGGATGGGACACACTTCCACTTAGTAGGGATGTCTTCCCGGTGGCTACTAACTTAAGTGGCTGTGTAGCAGTGTCGTCGTGTCTTTGCCTGGCCTTTTATGTATTTTTAAGGTGCTTTCACACATCTTTATTTATAAGAACTGTTGCCCTGAAACCCAAATAATTGTCTAACCTGCTTTGTAAAGCATGTGGTATATACCAAGTTAGGAACATAGACAGCTATGTGGTAGAGATTTCCTTATTCAAAAAACTTTGAGGGTTCCAGAATCTTCGAAGCCATGAGTGACACCTACCTGCCCTTCCAGGTTTTGTACACTGTGCCTCACTCATACCCAATGTTTGTGGACTCTTGAGCTTGCTCTTAAGGATTCCTGACATGTGTCCACCTATGCTTTATGGGATCTAAAGGGTGGAAAATTCATGTTTTTAAGGAATTTCATAGTTGAGGAATTAGTATTGACTATAAAGTATTTATCTTGGTGAGAAAAGACTGATTGTTGCTTATTAACCTGACTAGCTTTTAACTTTGGAAGGGATGCTAGAAACCAAAAAAGTTAGTGAATTGTTAAGTTTCCCAATTCTTGTCTTGAATTTTTTTCTTTCGAAGAAACTTGTTTTTGAGGTAATTTTCAATTTACAGAGGAGTTGTAATACATATCTTGTATATCCTTCACACAACTTCCCTAATGTTAACATCTTACAAAATCATGGTACATTTATCAAAAATAAATTAACATTGATAAAATACTGTTAACTAAAGCATTGACCTTACTTGGATTTCCTTAGTTTTTCCACTGATGTCGTTTTTCTATTCCGGGATCCAATCCAAGATACCACATTACAGTTAGTCCTCATGTCTCTAGTTTCTCTCTGATCTGTGACAGTTTCTTGTACTTCTTCGTCTTTAATGACCTTGACCCTTGATCTCAATTTGGGTATACTTGGTGTTGAGTAAACTGAGGTTATGGATTATCGGGAAGAATACCACAGAGGTGACTTAACCTTCTTACTACACATGGGACACATAATGTTTCTGGTTGAATTTAACCTTGACCACTTGATTAAAGTGTTATCTACCAGGTTAGTATGTTTTTCTTTTGCATATTCTTTTTATTAGAAGCTAGTTACCAAGGGAGGAGAATATTTGAATTTGTGGACCTGTATTAAAGCTCCCACTATTGTTATTAAGCATTTGGTGGGAACACTTTGAACTTACGCAAATACTGTGTTTCTCTCAAGTTTCCCCCCTTATTGAGCGTTTATTGATGGGTCTTGCTTGCCACTGTGATTGTT